AATGCTAAACTGGTGCAAGTTACTGCCTTGTAGATTCCCTTTCTGAGTGACTTGCACCAGACACATTTTACACCAGTACATTTGGCACAGAGATTTCCAGGGTTATTGTCCTCAGTTACAGGCTCAGTTCTATATGACTTGCTTAATTTAACTGATGAGGGTGGATTGACTCATTTGAAGATTTCTAAACAGAACAAATCCTTCGCATGCTTCCACCTTTCTTTCCCCTGGTCTCAAGTCTTCAGCAAAGTGCTGTACTCACTTCTCTTTAATTATACTTTGTTTCAGTTCCATGTGAGTAAGTAAACCAACAACAGAGTAGGACAAGAGTAAAGGCTGCATGAAAATGTCTATGCTCAAACATTTTCCCAGAATAACCCAGCCTCCATCCTAGAGACTAGGGCAAATAAAACCGGAGATATTTTTGTAAGAGGCTATCTCTAGCAGGTACTGTAAGTGTGTCTCTAAAACCAGGACAAAACACATACGTTTTTTTAATTGATAGATACTTCATGATATCATAGACCAGGGGTCGGCAACCTTTCAGAAGTGGTGTGCCGAGTCTTCATTTATTCACTCTAATTTAAGGCTTTGCGTGCCAGTAATACATTTTCACGTTTTTAGAAGGTCTCTTTCTCTAAGTCTATAATATATAACTAAACTATTATTGTATGTAAAATAAATAATTTTTTTAAAATGTTTAAGAAGCTTCTTTTAAAATTAAATTAAAATGCAGAGCCCCCCCGGACCGGTGGCCAGGACCTAGGCAGTGTGAGTGCCGCTGAAAATCAGCTCGCGTGCCGCCTTCGGCACGCATGCCATAGGTTGCCTACCCCTGTCATAGATCCATGATAGATGTTTACAGCATGTACTGTACCTTAACACACTATGGATGGTCTGTACAGGGAATTGAGCATCTTGGGTAGTATTCCCATATTTGCTGTTTGCAGATACCATGGCCAAGATTTTCAATTGTGGGTCCTTATACTTCAGCACAAAACCCCATATTTATACATCTAAATAAAAGTGCCCTGTTGTTGTTTTTTCAGTGGGGCCAAGAGCCCACAGCTCCCATAAACTCAGCACCTCCGCAAACTTTTTACACTCATTTAGAGCACGATCAGCAAATGTGGCAAAGAAAAGGCAGCTAGGCCTGAAGAGCGCAGAGATCCAGATAATGAGGTGTGTGATTTCCAACTGCTGCACATACAGTGGACGGCAGCAAGGCTCCCAAATGGAAAATGTTTCGTTGATAAATATCGCCACAGCTGCAATTTCAAAACAGCAAGACAACAGTTGTGTACATTGGCCTGCTCAAGGAAGTCTGTTCTGACATCTGTGAAAGTACGTTGTGTGTCAACACCCTCCCTAGGTTCACAGCCAAAAGGGAAACAAACCGCTACAGACAGTGAACTTTTCATGTATCAAAATGGTGTTATTAACAAGTGGTCTCTCTCTGGATCTCCCTTTAATGAGGGCCCTGGTATTATACAGGGCAGTGGAATGGGGGATGGGGGCGGGGGCTGTCATGAGGCCAGTGCTTTGAAAAGGTGACGTTAACCTTCAGTGGTGGGTTGGGGGAGTGGAAATCATGACCCTAGGGTCACATCTTGTGCCCATATGTCTGTGCGTAGTGCCGCTGAAACGTATGCCGCTCCTTGCATGGGTAAGCTGAGCAGGATTTGATCCTTTACTATCTAAGCAACGTACACTAGGTTCCTATTGGGCCTGTCATTTCTAAGCAGACTTATCTCCATTGACTGCAGCTGGGAGTTCGGCTTAAAAATGAATGGCCCAAAGTATCTAATGGGACCCAGCAACGGGAGCTGTGGGTGCTCGGCGCGTAACAGGCTGTGCATGGCGCCTTGTGCGGTTAGGCTCATAGGACCTAAAATACTAGATGAAGTTGCTATTCATTTTTAGTCACAGTGCAAGAAACCCCACGAATAAGAGAGGAAGGCTGGTCTTGTGGTGACAGCTCTGGTGTGGAACTTAGGAGCCCAGCTCTGCCACAGAGTTCCTGTGTGACCTTAGGCGAGTCACTGAATCTCTATCTCCACTTCCCATCTGCAAAATGAGTATAACGTTACTTCCTTTCTCCTCCTTGGTCTGGTCGGGGTGCAGGCTCTTAGCGGAAGGGCCTGTCCCTACGTGTTTGTGCAGCGGTTAGCACAATTATGCCCTGAACTCAGTTGAGACTTTTCAGCATTAATGTAATAATAAATACTAACTGAAACCTGAGTGTGCTGAAAAAACCCTACAGTGACTGAATAGTCCTCATTCAGGTAAAATATGCAGAGCTGAGATGCTGACATTTTTGGCTGCAGAAATCCTTGTAGAAATGAATTTGTTTTGATCAATCCCCTGGCCCCAGCCTGTCAGATCTGAACTAGGAGGAGACATAATAATTCAGCGACATGTTCTCAGTCTTAGGCAAAAAAGAAAACAAATCAAAAGAAAAACCAGAAGTGAAATATTGCGGTGCAACAACAACAACAAAGATACTGGAACAAATTATTAAGTAATCAATTTGTAAGCGGTGAGGCACTGGGTCGCTCTGGGTCAGCACCGCCGACCGGGACGTTAAAAGTCCTGTCAGTGGTGCTCCCCGGCTAAGGCAGGCTAATGCCTACCTGTTCTGACACCGCGCTGCACCCCGCAAGTGGCCAGCAGTGGGTCTGGCTTCTAGGCGGGGGGGCTCTGCACGCTGCCCCTACCCCAAGTACTGACTCCACACTCGCATTGGCCAGGAACTGGCCCATGGGAGCTGGGGGGGGGGCAGTGCCTGTGGGCGAGAGCCGAGCTGAGCCGCTTGCGCGCCTCTGCCGAGGAGCCGGAGCCGGACCTGCTGCTGGCCGCTTCAGGCACAGCGTGGTCCACGGTGCTAGGACAGGCGGGAAGCCTGCCTCTGCACACCACTGACCGGGAGCCGCCGTAGGTAAGTCTGCGCCCCAACCCCGTGTCCCAATCCCCTGCCCCAGCCCTGAGCCACCCCCCCAACCCGGAACCTCTTCCTGCACCCCAAACCCTTCATCCCCAGCCCCACCCCAGAGCCTGCACTCCCAGCCCACACCTACACAATGGGGAATAACTAAGTGGTAGTACTGGTGAAAAGGTTATAGTGGATCACAAGTTGAATATGTGTTAAAAATGTGATGCACTTGCAAAAAAGGCTAATTTAATTCTGGGGTGTATTAACAGGAGTTTCATATGTAAGATACAGGAGGCAATTGCCCACTATACTCGGCACTGGTGAGGCCTTAGCTGGAATACTGTGTGCAATTCTGGGCGCCACGCTTTAGGAAATGTGGATAAATTGGAGAGAGTCCAGAGGAGAGCAACAAAAGTGATCAAAGGTTTAGAAAACCTGAGACAGGAGGAAAAGTTTAAAAAAACCCTGGGCATGTTTAGTCCTGAGAAAAGAAGACAGGTTCCCCCTCAGTTAACAGTCTTCAATGTTAATGGCTGTTATAAAGAGGACCATGATCAACTGTTCTCCATGTCCACTGAAGGTAGGACAACAAGTAATAGGCTTAATCTCCAGCAAGGGAGATTTAGGTTAGCTATTAGGAAAAACTTTCTAACTTTACGGATAGCTAAGTTCTGGAGTAGGTTTCCAAGGGAGGTTGTGGTATTCCCATCACTGGAGGTTTTAAAGAACTGTTTGGACAAACGCTTGTCAGGGATGGTTTAGGTGTACTTGGTCCTGCCTCAGCGCAGGGGGCTGGAGTTGGCCTCTGAAGGTCCGTTCCAGCCCTACATTTCTATGATTGCAAAGTTCTATCCCATAAAGATGTCTAACTATGCAGCCCGTAACTAGGGAATTATGGTAAACCCCCAAGCAGAACCAGTAGCGAGCAGTGCTGTAAAACAATCGCTACTCATAAATCAAATAAACACACGGTGGGGTTCAGAGAATTCTGCTGAATCAAACGGTAGGGACAAAATGGCTAGCTGAGTTGTTTATGACACACGACTATCAAAACTAGGGGCCCAATCCTGCTCTTCTGGCTCACAACAGTCTTCCGTTGAAAGCCACGAGGCTGCGTGGGCAAGCGAGGCAAGCAGGGTTTGACGCTGTGGCTCAGTGCTATAGTACATTGATAAAGGCTTTTTGACTCCTGCACTGATTTTGGGTGGAACCAAATGGTGACCCAGGAACCCCAGGGGCTAGAGTTTGGGGGATTTCCTAAAATAACACTAGCTCTCCAAGGAGATCAGCATCACTATTCCCATTTTACACAAGAGGAAACTGAGGCACAGGGAGTAAACGTGACTTGCCCAAAGTCACACAGAAGGTCAGAGCCGGGAATAGAACCCAGGTCACCGGAGTCCCTGTCCCATGATCTAGCCACTCAGCCATACTCTTTCCCATATAACGCTCCCTGACTTCAATGGGACTCGAGTACGTGTTTAACTTAAGCGCTGTCCTAAATCAGGACCCAGGGGAGAACAGATGGGTGCAGAAAGAAGCAGGTTTTTTCATTCTCCACTGATGAAACAGTATCTGCGACAGAAGGACAGAACTCCCTAAAGCTGAAAAATTCATGAGGAAACACTTCTCCTGAGGGAAAGCAGCTGTGAAGACAGAATTCCGCCCCCCCTCTTCCTGCCCCACGAGAAGAATAGGGCATTCCATCCACCCCACCACTTGTAAAGAGTTCACAGCCACTTTATGGTGGTTCCTTAGCTGCTCGGAAAATCCCGGCTGCATTGGAGATCAACCTCAGAGCCTCCCACTCCAAAAGCACAGGTCCATATTTCATTAAAGGGAGAATCGCCCTTGTTTGTTAGCAATCTAGGATCTATGAGACACAGCAGAGCCCAGACGGAGGGACAGGGCAGGGCGGGGATGATAGATACACATATTAGCCAGTTCATTACTGTAAATCACTGCAAAATCAGAATGAGAATTCTGGTGTCCTTAGGTGTCTAGGCACATAGACATAGATACTTCAGTAGGCAGTAGAGTTTAAGGGGGAAGAGAAGGAGAATCCTACCTTCTTACCCGGGGATCGAATTAAAATGAAACGGTTTTTCCTTTTCAAGAGAGCGCGCAGATCCTGGCACTTCTCATATCTCTCCAGTTCCACCGTTTCTAAGCATTTCTGTTCCTCCTGCAGAGCGGGGAGAGAAGGGGAAAGAAAACCTTTATCTGGAACATGATACCTCTCCATCAAATGCATACCAGCAACCTCTGCAGTTTCATCCCACCTTTATGTCTCCCCAGTGCTCTTTCGCCTTTAAAACAATCCACGTGCCATTATAGTTACGCAGGCAGCAAGCCTCCGTAACTCAGGCAAATGCCTCATGGAAGAAAATCCGCTGCTCTATAGGCTGTATGGCATTCAGCAGAGGCGTTAGCTCGCTTGACTCTTGTTGCTCTGAGCAGAACTGACAAAACTTTGCACTTCTGTAGTGCTTTCTATCACGATCTCCAAGTGCTTTACAAGCCTTAACTGAGCCTCGCAGTCCTCCAGTGCGTTAAGTAAATGTTATCCCTGTTTTACACATGGGGAAACTGAGGCACAGACCGTGACTACTCAGGATCACACCGGGAGTCTGGCAGAACAGGGACAAGACTCCAGATCTCCAGGATCTCTTGTGCTGCGGGCTTGGGTCACCTTTCCCCTCAATAAGAACAAGCGTCAGTGATGGCCGTAGGTTGTTTAAGCACACTTTTTCTGTCTGCAAGTTTGATCTGTCAAAACAGAATTATTTTCTTACAAAGAAAGCAGCACTACCAATGCCAGTGCCTGGCTGGGGCCTAGCCATCCCTGGGGTAACGCCACTGAAGTCCATGAGGATTTCAATCAGACCCACTCGGCCCATTCTTCCTAATGACATAGCTAAAGTTTCATGCACACGTTGTCCTGGTTCACTGTAGTTACAGAGAAACAGCATCGTTTTCAACTGGTCGATTTGGTAGGGAACACAGTGTAACTCACAGGGGATAGTATTATGTATTTATATCACGGACGTGCCAATCTCATTTGGGCCGCACTGCGCAAGGTGCTGTACAAACACCTAGCTGGGGGGTGGGTCCTTGCCTGGAAGAGGTCGCGATTAGCTCAGTGTTCATACATATTAATTTCTCACATTAGTGTAGCAAACCCTGAAGCCACATAACTGGCGACCAGCAGCCTCTGCAGGCAGCGCATCAGGACATTCACAGGAGGGGAGAGAGAGAAGCAGCACCACGGAGGCCTCTGAGATGTGAACCAAGGGGTGTTCCACTAAGACATGGGCTCTGACTGGGACTCGGCTGCCAACTCCCATGAACTTTATGGAAGGTGGGGATCCAAATCCTAACATTGTGGCTCAGGCCCTGTCTGTCGCACACTAAAACCCCAGCTATGGGCACCCCCAAATGGTGGGTTCGGTCTCCGCTCCAAGCTTTGTGGCTCAGACCTGCCTCTAGCAATGATTAGCAAACACCGGGGAAACAGTGCAGAGGAGGCGTGTAGGCTGTGGGCTGCACGTCCTAGCCAGGAAGTTACTGAACAGTTAGAGGCAGGGAATAGCCACAAGGAAGTGAACTGAGGGGGATTTCCTTGGTTTACCATCTGATATTTAAGTCCCGGGGGGCCAGCTCTGGCTGTGTTGCAATTTCTTTCATTGCATTATATTTGCAGAGGAGGCCCCAGCTGCAGTGCTGGGATGCAGAGCAGGGGGCGGGCAACGCGAAGGTGCCTGGACCTAACTTAGGTTTGGATTTTTCGTTATTAAAGTAGCATTTCTTTCCATTTTAAACAGAGGAGGTGAGCGTGAGGGGAGAACGGGGAGCATTTGCATCAGTGTCTGACGTGCAGCTCCTGCTCACACTGAAACCAACTCACTCCAAAAAGGCAGGATCAAGTCAGTGCTTAATTTGTAATGAAATTGGTGTCAGGGCTCAAGCAATTTTTTGTACATTCATAACTGATGCAGCAAGCCCAGAGGTGCTGGGGCTATGAACTGCCATGCCTAGAGGTGCCGGGACTCAGCCCTGGCAAGCCCTGGCATATATTGAGCACTGGATCAAGCCTTCTGTGTAGATGGGATGCATTCTGACACAGGGCTCACGCGGCCTTTCCTTGCCATATAATTACAAACGTGTTAGGGATGGAAATAGAACATTTAATAATCCCTATAAGCCAGCAAATGACAGAGGAGAGTGAGGTCAAACACATGTGCCTATATGCTGGGTGATCTCAGCTTGGTTGTTAGAGGCGAGTTGCCCACATCATAAAATTGCCACCCAGTTAGTCGCCTCTCTGTGCAAGTCTGTTGTGGGTGAGGACCAAGGTGGATTGGCAGAGCTTTGTGGGGCGGTTCGCTCAAAAAGCCTGTTGGCAGTAGGTCTGGCTCTACTCTGTGCCAGCAGCTGTGCTCGCAGCATGTCTCTAAGGGCCATTTAATCCTCCTCAGCCCTCCACCCCTTCTTTCCTGCCTAAAGAGTTTGACAGGCACCCTCCCCCAGATCCCACAGAAGCCCTTCTCCTGTCTAAGACTGGGAGTGGATGGGTCATTACACAAAGTAAAACCTATTTCCCCATGCTAATTTTTCCCTCTATTGTTACTCACACCTTCTTGTCAACTGTTGGAAATGGGCCATCCTGATTATCACTACAAAAGTTTTTTTTCTCCTGCTGATAATAGCCCACCTTAATTGATTACTCTTGTTATAGTTAGTATGGCAACACCCATTTTCTCATGTTCTCTGTATATCTCTCTCTTCCTACTGTATTTTCCACTGCATGCATCTGATGAAGTGGGCTTTAGCCCACGAAAGCTTATGCTCAAATAAATTTGTTAGTCTCTAAGGTGCCACAAGTACTCCTGTTCTTTTTAAGAATAGTTAGTGGCTCTGATGGTTTTGGGAGAGCGGAAGGCATGGCAGGTGAGGGACCAGAAGCTCTACAGTGGACATCACCCCCCTCCGAAGCTGGTCACTGCAGCATTTAACCTTCAGTATTTCCCTGGGGGGAGGAGTTGGGGCTTAGGCACAGCCAGGGAATAAGTGACGACACGTCCGCCTCCGGCGCAGTACTGATGGGGGACGCAGAGGACTGTGCAAGGGCTGACTCTGTGTACAGGCCCTGTCCTAGGGCACAGGCCTGATTTCTAGGCCATGCCCCCATCGGGGAGAGGGGATTTCAGAACCTGGAGTTTCCCAAGTAAATTACCCCCTCCGGAGAGGGGGAGAAAAGGGTGGCCTGGACCAATATGAAGGAGGAAACCCTATACAAGAGGCCAAGGAAGATTCTAGGCTTGGACTGTGTCTTAATGTGACTTTTGTGTGTAAATGTGACAGGTTACCAATGGCAAGGGGCTGGCCTTTGTTCTGTGCCCAGCCAGGTCACAAGGAGATCCTACCTATCTAATGTCCACAGCAGAAATCCAGAACTGAAGGGCCTCACTCTGAGATGTGCTGAGTGCCAGCATGTCCCTAGGATCTTGTGGCAGTGATATACGCTCAGCACCTTTCAGGATCAGCCAGCTCTGAGTTCTGGAGACCTGCTCTTATAAATGGGACTCGTCAGTCTGTCCCCCACCTGCTTGGGTTCTGGTTTTCTCTCGTGTCACAGGGGAGTTAAAAAAATCATTTTGTGTCATACTAAGATACAAAGGTTTAATTCAGCAGCTGCCTTAGTCTGCAATCAAGGGTTTCCCTTTATCTTGTAGCACAGCTGTTTGGGGGTGTCCCATGACATTTCAAATACTGTTCAGCTATTGGTCCAGGAGCATTACACATAACTGTTGAGAGGTGACAGCGGGACGGTGAAATTTATTCAGTCCTCCTTTCGCATGACGTGTTAGAGGATGATTTTAAAATCACTTTTGCACTGGCTAGGGTTAGGGGCATTAATAAGACACTTAAAACCCTGATGCAAGGAAGCAGTTAAGCATGTGTGTAACTTGAAGCATGAAAATAAACTCATTGATTACTCAGGTAGTAGACAACTTGACCACTGACTGCTTAAGCACACATGTAACTTTAAGTGCTTTGCTGGACTGGGGCCTTAGGCAGAAAGTTATTCACACTAGGACACTTTTACATATTAATACATGTATTCAAAGCATTGATTGTTTAAAAATCATGTGCGTACAGCTAGGTGACAAATGGAAGGTTGCCCCCCCACACACAAAATTTCAAATGTTTGTTGAAAAACCCAAAACTGAAATTTTGTTGTGTTTGGCAGTCAAGAATATTTGACTGAAAATTGCTGAAACCCTAAAAATGACAAAATTTGGTGGGATTTAGTTTTATGATTTTCCAACACAATAATCAAGTATTTTCTATGAAAGCTGTCACTTTGCATAAAAACTTTCATCAACCTGAAAATGCCATTTTCCATTTTAAAAAAAAGTTTTGATTGAAAATGTTTGACCAGCCCCAAATGTGCTATTTGTGGCTATCCACTGAGTATATGTCTAGATGGGCTGTAATAATAATTTCCGTTTCTGAGGATCTCCAAGTAATTTAATTAATTAAGCCTTGAAATAGGGAATGCATTATCTCCACTTTACAAATGGGGGAAATGCAGGCAGAGATGGTAAGCACTTGACCAAGGTCACACAGGAAGTCTATTGCAGAACCAGAGATAGAATCCAAATGCCCTGACCTCCAGTCCTGTTCTTTACACGCTAGATTATGTTCCTTGATGCCTTAAGTGATATACATTTAATAACATAACTAACCAACTTTTTACATTAGTTCTGTTACTTTGCATAAAAAAGGATCAGAGGTAATTTCAAGAGTGAGTGATACTGTCTAATTTGTACTGGGACTGCACCAACTTTTATGTTTAACCTCCTTTTGTACAGGAGTCTTTGTTCTTCAAATATCCTTTGTAATTCTCTGAGTTTCATTTTCATTCTGGCCAAGATATACATTTCTCTTGAAGACAGGCAGAATCATTATTTCATAACAACTCTATTCTATTCTATATATGCTTTTATACCATGTTTATCATTGTAATATCTGAGCAGCTCCCTGAGAATGTGAGTACCTTGTATGTGTATGTATTAGTATGGGTTTGTGTGCAGCATACATACTAAAAATGTATCTCAGGTAGCATAGTCTGAGTTCATGTGGTGGTTAGGGTGTGGGGTAATGTAGATGAAGCCAAAATGGGATATAGGAAATACACCTAACTTCATACCACATCAACTGAAGGAAGTTTGAAGCATATTAAAGGTACCCGAGATTTTCACCAACCGTCTGCTCAGTGTAAGATGATAGCCAATTACAGTTTGCCTTGGGAAGACAGCTACCCTTTAAAACAACCCTAAAGCCTGGCTAAGAGATGATGAACATGTTTCAAAGTGGACTGGCAAGTCCGAACTGCCAAATCTCAATCAATAGAAAATAACCACAAATGATGCTAACACAGTATTTGTGATAGTCTTATGCTATATTTTTCAGTGACGCAATATGATGTGGCTAGATTTTCAGCTGCTCTTAGCTTTGCCTCCAATTGTGTAGGCACAAACTTTGTACACACGAATATTTCCATGTACAGCTTGCATACTTGTGCACTCAGAAAAACAAGCGTGGCATTTGGATCTACAAACGAAGCAACTGTTAGGGTCCAGCATTAGAAAACCTGGCCCTCTACTGACACCGATTCATGAAGGGTTGGATAGGTTGGGAGGCCGGTAAAAGGATGTGTTGGCTTTTGTCTCTTGGTCACTGGTTGAAGTCCAGTGAACTGGTGGGGCCTGGTCCACTGCTTCATAGACAGCCAGGCCTATCCTAAAACCCTACCCTTGCCAGGAGTCACAACAGAGAGGCCTTTGAAGCTGACCTCCCATCTCACCCCTTCGGGTCAGGCTTGGGACACATTAGGATGGAATCATGCACTATCGTGTTGTGCACGCTATACCTGGCCTGCGTGTAAGGAGAGGCCTTCACTTCCTAGGGCTATTAACCCCAACCTTTCAAAAGCACAAGCAATTCCATTTAAAACTATTTGATTCTCAAAAGAGCAAAGGAAGCTGTATTCCTCTTTCGGCCTGCAACGAGAGATACTGGAAAGGGATGTAGGATGGCCATGGGGTTCAGGCTGGGCACTGAGTAGCAGAAGATGCAGGTTCAGTTCCCCCTGTGCCACAGACTTCTTGTGCGACCTTGAGCAAATGATTTTCATTTCTCTGGGACTCGGTTCTCTCTCTGTAAAATGGAGATAATACCACTTCCCTACCTTGCTGGGTTGCTGCAGAGACAAAGACATTAAGTGGCTCAGATATTACAGGGATGGGGACCTTTTTATAAGTGCCTTACTAAAAACAGCCATTTCCTTCAGTACCCCAGCAGCAAATCTGCACAAGCATATGCTGTCTTATTACACTACCACGTAACTTCATAGAATTTCCACTCCTAAGATACACTTCTTCAATATATGCCACTTTAATAGCCTATAGATATTACTACGGCCCTGTATTTCCAATAGTGGGACGAGCCCGCTAACCAAGGTTACAGATGCAATTTATTATAAGATGTTACCACAGCCAGAAAATATTGTGTCTGGTTGTTATAAATGTCCTTTTTTCCCTGCTGAGAAAATAAAATACCTCTTTAAACGACTAGGGGTTTTCCTTCCCCTGAACGTCTGTGGAGATTAAGCTTACTTTAAAATGCCTCATTTCCTTCTGTGAAGATAAAAACCTCAATATATCTAGTTTTCAAAGGTGTCCCCTTTTAGAAGCCCATGTCTTCTTTATAGCCCTGACTCTGTGTGATTCTGAGCACTTGAAACTTCAGCTGGAGTCTACAGCAGTCCGGGTACTTGGCAGCTCTCAGGAGAGACTCAGTAATTTACAGGATTGGGTCCCATGTCTTGCCACACAGCTGTAGGTCTAGTTACTCCCCCTACACCCAAGCTAATAAACCTGTGCCTAACTTTCTGGCGGCTATCGAAGATTTTGTTTCGACTCCTCGTTTAAATGCTCATAAAAGCACTTCATGGTGCTGGCAGTTTCAGAGCTAGCTGGAAATTTCCCATCAGGATGGATTTCTGGTGGAAAATGCCCTTTTCGCATGGGAACCTTTTGATTTTGCTGAACAACTTTTGATTTTTCCATCAGGCTCCCTAGCTAAAATGGTGGCTCCCCAGCTGCCCTCCTGGAAGGCTCCTGGCAATTTCCCTTTTTGCCCGCAGGGAGAGAGTGAAGCTCCCAAGAGCCTTTCGGGGGGACTGCAGCGAGACTTGGGAGGGAGGCGGAAAACGGGGGTACTCGGCCTCCAGCAAGCCAAAAAATTCGGGTTTGGTTCTCTCAAGATGGGTGTTTTTCAGGAAATCCCTTCCCATGAATTATCTTGCATTTTTGACTTTGGGTCCCAGTTTGGGATGAACAATCTTTGAAAAACATGTACTTTTTTTGCATGAGGGGATTTCCATTCTCTGGCCGGCTCTGCTCAGAACAAATGGCCTCAAAGGGGCAATGGCGATTGCTGGGGGGCCCACCCAGTAGCATTTGATTTGACTGATTTGTGTGTTCTCCATCAGGTAGCACATTTTTTGGGGGGGAAGGCGGAAAGAGAGAACCAAAAGTATTTTTCAGGGTTGCTCTTCCTCAAATCATCACAATAATGTAACTAGTGAAATATTTCCCCATTCTGGTGGCTCTGACACAGAACACACACACTTTATTTACGTGCTTTGCATTGCAATTTTCTTACACTTCTGGGCCTGGTCCTGCAAAATCTTGCTCACGCAGGAAATCCCACTGAAATCATGGAGCCTGATCCTGGAAATCGTTACTCATGCATGCAGTCTCATTGAAGCCCTGCAGGACTGGGCCCTATATTTTCATGCATTTATAATCCTCATTGACTGCAGATGCGAGGAAGATTTCATTTGGCTCTTACTTCTTGATTGATTGAAAAGAGTATTAAACTAGAGCCTGGCTCTCTAATTTTTTGCATGTAAGTAATCCCAGTGAAGTGCGTAGAAGGGCTCCCAGGAGTAAGGCTGAAGGAACGGGTCCTACTCCAATGCAGTTTAGTCCTGCTTTTGATCAAATAGAAGGGAAAAGCCAAGTAAAATCTGCCTTGTGTCTGCATTTAAGGACCATTACAAATGCTCACAAACACACTCCACGCCCATGAATGGGAAAGTGAAACCCTGAAGAGCTTGAAACGTTGCAGGCCAGACATTTGAAGGCTGCCAAACAGCTGCAAGGCTGTATCATTCACTTGAGTAGCAGGTGGGAAGTCAGCCTGTTGCAATTCAGTTTTATAATTTAAACAGCAAAAAAAATCCATGTCCCACTCTCCTTCCCACTGCTCCCAAATTGATAATCTGCTCCGTTTCTTACAGAATCTCCTTTTTTCCCCAAATTTGGCAATAGCATTGGCAGTTTCTTGTTATGGGTGCAAATATTTATAATATAGAGTATACTCTAAAATGCACCAGCTATCTCCTCTCTATTGCATTTAACCTTCCAGGATTTTTCTCGACAAACTGAATGGGACTAAATGAACTGGAGGAAAGGGTGAAGGACAAACATCCAGTGTCGACTAAGGGCCCGATCCCATTCCGCACCATGCAGGATAGGGCCCTTATTCAGGAAAGCCTGAGCAAACCGTACCTCATCTTCATACACCAGTAGCTGCGTTTTACATAACAGGATGTAACGATCTTTCCATAATCCCAAAAGACCTCCACTGCTTTTCTTAATCCAGCCAGCTTTGTCTGCGGTTGGAGCACGTTTTGGTTTCTCCGTGACCTCTTCTTTCACACCCTGCAAAGACACCACAAAAAGCAAAGGGAAGGAGGATTACTGTCAGTTGCACTTTTCAGACCGAGGCAGCAGAAACTACGTATTCCAAAGGGCCTGCTGAGGAGAGGTGCTGGACCCCCCACCCCTCGCACTGAGGCCACTGGCAGGACGTAGGGCCCACATGTGCTCTTACAATCCCTTTGTTCGAGTTTGGCAGGTCCTCTTTGCCATGCACGTCTCTCACCAGGAGTCACAATCTGCCCAGGGGCATTCACTCCCCACCATTCACTAACTCGGAAGAAAAAGATCGGGGTCAAGCTTCACCTTGCAGGGAAAGGACAACTCAGGCAGGGTCCCCTCATGCAGCTTCCACCTCAGGGAGGGGCTCGGCAGAATGGACTCCAGAACCAATGCGTCAGGAGGGAGCTGCCTCTGCCCCCAGACCCCTTGTTAGCCCCCGGGGGCACTCTCCGCACTTTCTGCACAGTGGTGTAGTTGCACGGCTGGGGTTTTCCTTATCGCTGCTCTCCGGGGCCCCTTTTTAAACAGGGGCTCCCTGCACCACAGCATTTGAAAAACATCACCCACATCTCAAGTTGGCGTTGGCTGGAGTTCGACTCCAGCTCTGTTCCTAACCCACCCTAGGAAACCCGGAGAATCTCCTGGGCTTACTCCTGCTCCCATTGCAGTCAATGCCGCAACTCCCAGGATCCAGCCTGGAGCTGCTCTTAGGCAGTTTCTCCAGGCCCCGTTTTTCTGTCGGAAGCTTGGCCATTTCTTCCATACACGTGATGCTGTCAGCTGTGGGCTGCACTGCTGTAACCTGGAGAATTGTGGGCCCCTCTGTAATGCTGGGTACGGCATTCTGAGACTTGCGTATTAACAGTGCTAGGCTAAATTGCACCGTGTGATGCGAAGGCACCAGGAACAAGGGCTTAGCTCTCTGCACTCTGTTGTTCCTCACACCGGCTCAGTCCCTACGTTCAGACTAACTTCTGCAGCGGGCTGATTTTAACTTGAGTGGAAAGAACTAGCAGGAAAAGAAGGAAGCTGAAAGCAACAGTTCCTTTTATTTGGGACGTTTAATAGCTGTGGCAAGCAAAATTTTCTGTGTGTCCCCTCACCCGCCCTATCTTCATCTAACCGCCAATCCTTGCCTCTCCACAGCCACCTTTTCCAAACCTCCAATTCACTGCTGGAGCGGATGCTAGGGCCTGAATCATCCTGAGGGCACCCACTGCACACACATCTCCCCTGGCCCATAGGGAAGGGGTGGAAGGCCAGCTATCTCCCTGGCATCATGGAAGCCCTCCGTGGGGTCGGGGTTGTGCACTGTCCCTGCACCAGTCCCCAGTGGAATATGCTGCAAAGACAATACACTGCTTTAGGGAAGCTGGCGCTAGGGAAACCTCCCTGTCAGTCTGAGTCCTGGCATTGAAAATGTGGGTGGTAAGTACCTGCAAAAGAGCAAAATCAATGTCCAAGTGTTGGCTGTGCAGCCCCGCTTTGTTTCAGTGCCTTGGCGTTTAACGAAACACTGGTGGGCAAATCAGTTTCCATTCTCTCGTCCCTGCTGCTACATTAATAGACCTTTTTCGCTTATTCCCCAGGCTGGTCTTAGTTTCCATCATCAGGAGACACTACTTAGACACGCAGACGCTACTGTATACGTGTGCAGGCGGCTCACAGACAACTGCTGGTTTGCACGGGTTTATCAGACACAGACCTGCTCTGCTCCAGAGCTACAGGGCCTGATTCTCATCTCCCACACACGAGTGCTGCCTTCCATTCACCACCGCGACGTTACTCCTGATTCCCACCACTGTAAGTGAGATCAGAATCAGGACTGTGGGGTTAGAACCCAGTCACTTGTCCTAAGAGTTCATACACAGGTTACAGCAATGTACCCCACCCAGAACTATTCCTGCTTAATCTCAGGTTTGAGGGAAATGGAATTTTTGAAGGTCTCGGGATTGTCTCCAAAAATCTCAGGATTTGGGGGAGGAAGCAGGTCCCACAGCCATGCGCTCACTGCAGGTACTGTGACCGCAGCACGTGGAGGAGAATCACAAGTTAGGGAAGTCACAAGGAACGCAAGTTTTTCATTCTTGAGCCCCGTCGTTTTCCAGATCCACTTACAATGGGGAGATGAATTACTCTCGTGATTTAAAAAATAAACTGAAATGTATCTGGTGCCAATAATCTTTTCAGATGGAAGAAAGAAACCCAGGAAGGGGAGTCTGTGGTCAGCAAAGCCTCCTTAAATACAAAACACTTAAGGCACAAACTCTTTTCAAGCTTCAGGACACGCTCTTGAATAGCCATTGCAATGGAAGACAAACAGAATCCATCTTTCCCCAGTGCTCCCCACTGTTTCATCCGGGCTGCTGTTGGAGCGCTGACCCTTTTATGAGTCTCTTCTGCAGGAACAGGCAGAGATTTGGAATCCCTTACTGTACCTTCAGCTGAGCCAACTCCCCTGGAAACAGCGCATCAGCAAACTTGTGACTGCAACAGGAGACTGACCCAGAATTCTCCAGTGTATTTCAGGAGAATGACACCTTACACACAGGCTGAGTTTCCTCCAAACTCTGTTGGGACAAGAGGCTTGTTCTGTCTAAGATAAATCATGGAAGCTTTGCGCTCTTTTTAGCAATGCTAAATTAGCATGCAATATGAAGGCAGAATCCCAACGCATCCCAATATGGTCCTGGTTAGTTACGAAATGCAACTCTTCTTGTAAGAAAGAAGTTCATCAAAGTCACTGTAACTTGGCCATCGTTTTTTTTTTTCTCAAATGAGGAAATGCAGAGTGCAGTGACGGAGATCAAAACCAGATAGTCCCATGGCCAGAACTGATTACAGACAGAGCTAGCCTAGAAGGAGGTGTTCCAAAAACTTAGTGTGAGGTTCACTGTCAGATGATGTGAGCCTTGGTAACGAATCTGTTTCCATGCATCCGACTCACAATGAAGACACCCTTGGATTGCAGCTGCCATTTGTTTGAACTGGAACTGCAGGGAAGGCAGCCACGCCAATAGAGGGAGGGGGAGAAAGTGACTGAGTTGTTGTGTATATAGGGCCTTATTCCAGTGCCTACTGAAGTCAACGGAACGGCTCCTATTAATTGTAATGGGCTTTGGAGCAGGTCAATACTAAGAAATGGTGTCTCTTGGCACGTATTTATAGAGAGATTTACCTGTGATAGTTGGGTCACGCTAAATAGCAATGGAAAATGCCACAATACAGGATGGCAGTACATGCAAAGCTTTTCATGAAAATGAGGTGGTATTATAATTCTTGTTCGTTTGTTTTACCTAACTTTTTAGGTTGCCAGGAAGTTGTATTCTGTTGTGATCTGCCAGGAAACGTCAGCTAGTGCACAAATATAGACATGCTGGTTTCCTGAATGAGCCGCCTTTCGATGTCATTCATAGGACCCTGGGGCTTGATTCCAATCTCCCTTACAGCAGTTTTACACTGGTGTAATTTTGCTGGGTTCACTGGAGCCGCTCTGGATTTACACCGGGAGGAGAATCTGTCAGCCCCAAGCGCTTAATTTTACAGAAATCTCAGAGTTCTAACAGTTTTTTTGCAAGAGAATATTAAAACATGCATGATCCCCACTTAACCCATCAGATAGCAGAAATGCTGTCAGGAAATACATCCAGGGATGTACGTGATAGACCTCTGGCTTAGCTCTGCAGAGTGAAAACTCCCCCATTCCTGTTGTTTCTGTGGTTTTAAATAAAAAATGTTCGGTGTAAAAACGTAAGCTGTTAATTTATACTCCTAGAAACCTACCGGCCCTGTTACCACTCATGTTTTAGTTCATTTTCATGATCAAGCTTATACTGTAAGAGGCGAATGTGCAAAGTGATGTTGGAGTTCAAGTGGTGCTGTAAGAGCCATAACCTTGCAGTCCGTACTCTTTCATGGTTTATATTTAGGACCGGTCCTGATCCTGTGTGCTCCCCGTGGATCCACTCGTTCTTTAACGTTTCAGGCTCAGTGATATTCACTGTACTCCTTTATCATTTCAGGACTTCCTCTTTAGGGTTAGACTGACCCCTCCATGCTGAAATCCACAAGGAGGGAATAAGAGGGAGGAGGATCCCTGTAAGGACCCCTTTGCGGAGCTTCCCCTCCAATCGCTATGGGGCACAAGTCTGGTCCATACCATGGAACGAGCCATGTATGGTTCCACCTCGAAACTGTGCAGAACGTCCAGGATCTGCGCGTCACCCAGGGGCTTGCCAGGAGCCATCCACATGGAGGGTTGGCGTCTGGCTGCTGGCACCACAACCTCCCGCTCCCTGTCTGCGTGGCCCGGTGGAGCCAGAACACTTGACCCACCCCCTTACCGAAGGATTCCCCAGGGCCAACAGCTTCTGGGGCAAAGGAAATAAAGCCTGGGGCTGTGATACTGTCCCCACGGAATGATGTTGGGGGATGATGTGCATAGGCGCCGAGTCCGTGGGTGCTCCGGGGCTGCAGCACCCACGGAGAAAAATTAGTGGGTGCTGAGCACCCACCAGCAGCTCCTCGTGGCCCCGCCCCGCCCCCCTGCTCCAGCTCACCTCCGCCTCCTCCGTGAGCGTGCCGCCGCATCCTGCTTCTCCCCCCTCCCTCCCAGCGCTTGTGCCGCGAAACAGGTGTTTCGCGGGGCAGGGAGGGAGGGGGGAGGAGGGGGAACGCGGCGCGCTGGGGGAAGAGGCGGGGCTGGGGCGGGGATTTGGGGAAGGGATCCAATAGTGGCAGGGAGGGGCAGAGTTGGGGCGGGGACTTTGGGGAAGGGGTTGGAATGGGGGCGGGGAAAGGGGCAGGGGAGCGCGAGCACCCACCGGCGCCGGAGAAAGTTGGCGCCTATGATGGTGTGGCACCCACCAACCCCAGGTCAGCCCTGCACCCTGCCAGTCTGGGCCTGCACAGATCCTTACCCCACAGAGCAGGCTCCCATAAACAGGCGGTGGAACGGTGCTGTGGAGACTGCCAGCCCCGGTTCCCTTCCAAACAGGAAG